GTATCAAAGCTATCGAGTTGTTCATTGAGAGGTTGCTAGCTATGTGCGTTCGCCATTTTGCGTGTCAGGTTCTGCAAGTTTCCCGTCATGAATGCTGTACAGCCACTAAGATATCCCATAATCCCATTCGTCACTTGACCGACATCTGCAACTCCCCACTGAGTCGACGTAGACTATCCCTTGACCACCCAACACAAGCTGACCCTAGAATGACTGTTTTATGCCTTGACAGGTACAACCGCACCGTCACGCTCAACAGCAGTCTCTGATCCGGATGTCTCAGGCTTGTGCTCGCCCGCTGCTGCCTTCTTATCCACAACGTCCTTCGATTCTTTCACCTCATTGACTGTACTAGTCGTCACACTCATCTTGTTCTCTTGCACCTCCGGGTGAACACTATTCTTTAGCTTCCGCATAGAGCGTCGGTTGTTCCAGTTACGCCGATTCTTCTTCTTAATAGGGTTGGTCTGAAGCGACTGTGGCTTCTGCTGCTGATCCTCACTGACCGGTGCAGCGTTTCCCTGAGTTGGGCCGAGATCAGTACTGACTTTCGTATTGTTGGAGGTTGAATTTGCATGTGACAAGGTGGAATCTCGCCCTGCTCTAACAACACCTGGAGTAGCATTGGTCAATGGTCTGTTCTTCACTTCACTGAGCGGTTGCTCGGCTTCCTTCTGCGCACGACGGTCTCGCCTAGCTTGAAAGATGGCACTCCGAGCAGAAAGCTGACTGTCACCTCTCATGTAGGCAACGGCGCGAACAATGGTGTCAGTGGCCTAGGGGATTGAAATTAGTCGGTCGCAAATTAGCAGATGACCAAGAGCGCTCACAATGAAAGAGGCGTTCATCAGTTGCACGAGATTCGTGGCAAGCAATGCCATGTCTGCGAAATCACCTCCTGCCTTGGCCGAGTTTCCGTTTTCTTGAAGTACTTTACGAGCATTATTCATCATCTCCCTAATGTTGTCCTCAGTGACGGCACTGAACACCGCAGGAGTTCGAGTTTGCTTTTTGACGCTTCCCGCACGGTTGATCGAGGTGCCCGCATCTTCTTTGGGTGCTGCAGCCTGATGTTCTGGAGTCCCGGTATGAGATACAGGAGGTTCTGTGCTGGCCTGGTTGTGGTTGGTGCCACTTGCAGGGGCCTCGAGAGGTCCAGCTTTGTCAGTGGCGTGGTCGGCCATGGCCAAAGATTCAATTGGAGCTGGGCAAACTGTTCGTGGAGGAGTGAGTGAGATGGACATCACGTAGCAGGGCAAGAGGGCAAGACTGACCTTGAGCTCTTCGTAGTCAAGACACCGTCAAGTAGGTAAGCAGAGAGAGGAGAACAGAGGAGAGAAGGAGTTCCACAGTGTGCGCATGTGAGTTGGGTGGGAGAGAGAGAAGAATGATGGACAAGCGGTAAAGTCTCATTGGAGGTGTCAAAGTGAAGAAGGAACGAACACGCTTCACTTTCGCCCTGTTGTTCCAGGAAAACAGAGGCGAGGGAAAGAACCTTCACATTAATCTGCGGATTAGGCAAGAGGAGCGAGTGTGAGAGACACAGGTCTGGCAGACTTGAGGCAGAAGAGCAGTAAGTAATAGAGCATGCGCAGCCGGCACCGTCTGTGTGTATGTCCTCACACGGATCACTCTAGCAATCATCAGACATATTCACTTTCCTCTCACCAGCTCTCTTCCCGTCGTCAATTTTCAGCTATATCGTCTGTCCCAAATGCAATTCGATGGCCACGACATCTTGCAACTCACCTTAGCGCGGACAGTGTCAGTGTCCCAGAAGAAGCGACTATCTGGTCCTCATCAAGAGACAGACGGTATTGACATCCTTGGCCCAGAGGACAAAAGGGGGTCGATGCTCGGCAAACCTTCTCTGTGTCAGACCCAAGTATGACAGTGACTGGTTTCTACGTCGCATCTTGTTGAACTTCGTCCATCTGACTCGTGGAAATTCAGAAAGACGCGCCTGAATCATATGTCTTTTGTTCTGCCCGAACTCACAAGGTAGCTTGACGACTTGAACATCAATTATGGCAAATCTTTTAGCAAAACCTTTCAAGCTTGCACTCGTGCAGCTTGCTTCAGGTAAGTAAGTGGTGAGTACCCAACCTCGAAAACTCGGGCTCGACGAAGGGATTCTGATGTATGCATAGGAGGTGACAAAGCTGCAAATCTGGCACATGCCCGCTCAAAAGTTATCGAGGCAGCAAAGGCTGGCGCCTCCATGATCGTCCTCCCTGAATGCTTCAACTCCCCATACGGCTGCCAATATTTCCCCAAATATGCTGAGACCGTCTTACCGTCGCCTCCCTCAGAAGAGAAGTCACCCTCGTGGCACATGCTGTCCAAAGTTGCAGCGGAAACCAAGACATATTTGATTGGTGGAAGTATACCAGAATTCGTTCCGGAGACGAAGGAATACTTTAACACCTCCCTTGTCTTCTCGCCCACGGGAAAGCTTCTAGCAACGCATCGGAAGATACACTTGTTTGACATCGACATACCTGGGAAGATTAAGTTCAAGGAAAGTGATGTGTTATCCCCAGGAAACAAGGTGACTATTGTCGACATTCCGGAATATGGTAAGATTGGGCTGGCAATATGTTACGATGTTCGCTTTCCCGAACTCGCCATGATAGCTGCAAGAAAGGGTGCGTTCATGTTCGTTTATCCCGGGGCCTTCAATACGACGACAGGTCCCATGCATTGGACACTACAGGCCCGTGCGAGAGCAATGGACAATCAGATCTTCGTCGCAATGTGCAGCCCCGCGAGAGACATGGAGGCAACCTACCATGCCTATGGACATTCCATGATAGTGAATCCCAACGCGGAAGTCTTGGTCGAGGCTCAAGAACACGAAGATATTGTCTATGCTGAGATTGACGGTGCAAAGATCGAGGAGACGAGGAAGGGCATTCCCATCTATACTCAGAGACGGTTTGATGTCTATCCTGACGTCAGTGCTGGAAAGGTGTGATACGACAGATGAACATGTTATTGTAAGGCAAGCATGCAAAAGAAGATGAGAATAAACAGAACAGTAGATTCGAACTTGCGACGGGTTGAACAGGAACAATTTCTATCCACGTGTGTCTATCTCTCCGGCTTTGGAACTTTGGAGGCTAACTTCGTGTTTCCCAAAGCCGACATCACGTGACCGAAATCTTGGCATCACCTTTCCATTTTCGGTTGAACTGCGCACATCCAAATTTCAATCCAAAGGCGTCTTCTTTTCCAACCAGTTCAACATCCCGCCAGTGTCTCTAGTCCTCCGCCTATCCAGACTGTATGTATGAAGAAACCACTACTTGCCCTCATCACCCTTTCCTTCCTCTTCTTCTACGCCCTCTTTAGCGCCCGCAAAAAATCGCAAAGCTCAAAGGAGTCCTGCAACTGACCAAACGTTCCGTCTTAGAATATCGGCAAAAAATGGCGAAAGACAACCCCAAGACCCAGCCGAAGAAGACGGCGCCCAAGCGATCTGCCATCGGAGACGTCGTCGCGCGCGAGTACACCATCCATCTGCACAAGCGAGTATGTCTACCACTTGTTCCGTGAACCTCTCCGAGCCCGCAAGATGCGCCTTTTCAAAGAGAACAAAAAGAATAGAAGATGAGGATGGGGAAGAGGAGGGATCAGTTTTATGAAGTCCACCCGAACGGCTTGCTCGCCCCTGCCTCCGACCATCGTCTCATGTCAACTTCTTTTTTTTTCTCTCACAATACTTTTCTCGAAATTCCCACCTTGCAAGCATTATGGACGGAAGACTGATTATCTCTCTACAAAATAAAGGTTCATGGCGTCAGCTTCAAGAAGCGAGCGCCCCGTGCGATCAAGGAGATTCGAAAATTCGCCACACAAGCTATGGTACGTGTGCTTTTCCGAAGCGACATTGAATATTTTCTATCCTTCATTGCGATATAAAATCCCCAAAGTGAGGGCAACTTTTAAAGTTCCCTCTTCTCTCTGTCCTTCAACCTCCCCCCACTCCATCCAGTGTTGCGGGAAACCACGGTTTGGCTGACAGTTCTTCCGCCTCCAGGGAACCAGCGACGTGCGACTTGACCCCCAACTGAACAAAAAGGTGTGGGAATCCGGCATCAAGGGCGTCCCCTTCCGCCTCCGCGTCCGGATCTCGCGGAAGAGAAACGACGAAGAGGGTGCCAAAGAGAAGCTGTACTCTTATGTTCAAGCCGTGAACGTCAAGGAGAGGGAAGCCAAGGGCCTGCAGACTGTCGTCGTTGAGGACTCATGAATAACCCGGTAAGGTTCTCCTCGTGTGCTGCCGGATCACGAAAAGGCTACGCTGCGAGCGAGGTCTTGCTGGGCGGTTTTGGGGGCAGGGGGTTCCCGGTGTCCAGGAAGCCAGCGAGAGAGAGAGAGAGGAGAGTCTGGGTCCAGACTAAAACTCTAGAAGAACGCCCAAGGGGACAAAGAAGTCAGCCGGACAAGGATGAGAGGAGATTATGACCCACAAAAGAATTCTGCGTGCGTACTACTATTACCATGTGTTACCCGCTACGGCGAGAGGTGTGAGTGCTGAGATACCAATCATCCCTCGGAGAACAACAAAATTTTTGTCAAGGAAGCAGTTCTCTCTTATTCAACGTTCTTATGTAGCCCTGCGTTTCCTCTCTGCCCAATCCAAGTTTTACCATCAAAAACCAGATCGCTCCAATATTGTCGAAATGAACACCTCAGGGAGCATCAAGTGTTTTGAGAGACAAAAGGTCAACTTGGTCCTGTTGGCCACAAGGAGACAAAAATCTTTCAAAAACCCGAACTTGACCTGGGGCGCACATTCACAATATCGTCTCGTGCGATGGTTTGGATGTGGTGGCATCATATCACAGATATCTTGTTGCTGTACATTGATAAACAAGGCTCCCAAAACTCCATCGCTGTGCATTTCTCCGCATCTGGTATATGCGATGTTCCTTTTCTTGCTCAACCGTCCATCCATCTCGTATTAGAAGTAAAAAAACACTCCCAAGAATTGTTCAAGCACTTTTGTTCTGCTCCAGAATCTTCGCCAACTCACTCGCCATCTCTGGTGTCTTCAATTTGAACACTAATCGCGTCAGATTTCCCTTGTACATCAGTGCTCCCCTCACAGCGCCACTCTTATTACTGGGGACACTCTCATAGTTCGTACTTCCCACAAGATGGGAATTGAAAAGAATATTAGCGCTGGGTTCCACGCGGAACACCACACGTGTTTTATCGTTGTCGTTGTTCTTGAGGACTCGGATTTGGCCCACGCCCATCGAATTCCAGTCGTTTGGAGTGTGTTTGGTGCCCTTTGCGGCCTCAGTGTTGACAAACATGAGGGCTTTGGAGCGACCTTCCCAGAGGCACGTCTCATTTTCTTCTCCTGCTCGCGAGTCCATTAAAGAGGTTTGCGGATCGTCGGTGCTTTCGTCGGTTTCATTTGTAGCGACAGACTCGTTATCGGTCAGACCAGGCGAGGTGGCGCGGGATGAGACAACAGAACTAGCCACAGAACCACCTCCTAGATGCGAAATGGCACCCAGATAGCCGGGTGCTGGTGACGGAGTCGGCGCTCCAAATTGAAAGCCTAAACTTGGTGTGTCGGACCCGCGCGAGCCCGGTCCAGTTGTGCCAAAGAGAGTACTGAGCGACTTGGATGTGGCTGAGTCCTTCTCCTTTTCGCCTGGAGAAGCCGCCGTGAACTTGAAAATAGGGGCACTTGTAATTTTGTCTCCGTTTGCGAAAGAGATAGGTGCGCCCTCCTTCCACGTATTGTCAGTCCCTGCTGGGGAAGTGAGAACCGATTTGGCAAGGCTGGGGTTCTTGTCGGCATTGCTCGGCGTACTTGGTCGAGAGCCAAATAAACCCTCCCCTGGAACTGGACCCTGTCTGGTAGCGCCGCCGGAGAAGATTGAGGCACCGGGAGCGCTTGTAGGTGTCGTACTTGCTCCTATCGGAGTGAATTGGAACCCGCCTGTTGGCTTGGGAGTTGATACACCAGTCGAAGAGCTGAGGAGAGAACCCGATGAATGTTCAGACGTTGATTTTGCGACTTGAGATCCAAAGGCTGACGATTGAAACGAGGAGTTCTTTGTCGGTTGTGTGGTCGTTGATTCCATGTCCGAGTTATTTTTCTCTCCATTCGTCGGCGTCGCTTTCTCTTTGTTTGGGTTTGGCTCGATACGATCGAATAAGCTTTTGCCGGCATTTGGATTGTTCTTTGCCCTGTCCATGGCAGCCCCCAGATCATTATCGTCGTCATCTTCATCATCCCCCTCTCCGTTTTCTTCGGCAACGTCGTCTTCTGGAAGATCATCTTCGGGCTCTTCTCCCTCACTATCGTCATCAGAATCTTCTTCTTCACTATCGGCGGCTTGATCATGACTTGAGCCGCTGTTCTCGTTCTCTTCTGCGTCGGCGGAATCCGCTTGTTTCACACTGACACCTTTGGACGTGAGTGCGGAAAAGGGATTAGGAGACGCTGAGGGGATAAAAGTTGCAGAGGAACCTTTGAGAATATCCCGCTCCTTAGACGGCTGTGCGGTAGTACTAGAACCAAATGTCGGTTTGAACCCCGCCTTTGCTACGGCGTCAATTTTTGCCTTCTTTGCGCGGGTTTCCTCCTCAATCCGTTGACGGAACGTTTCCTCGTCGTCTTCATCTGAATCGAACTCTTCAGCCTTGCGCTTTTCAATCAGATCCTTCTCGAACTTGTCAGCATTTGCCTTTGCTTTCTGGCCGAATGCAGCAAGGAAATTGGTGTTGCCACCCCCAAATTTGGGAACCTCAAAAGTCGAAGGCTTCGGGGGTGGTTTCGTTGGTGTCGTCGATGGTACGGATGACGGCGTATTCGTTATCTGATGTGCGCCGGAATAAGGGTTCGCACCCGTAGTAGCTGTCGAGGTAAGCCCTGCAAAAGGGTTTACGCTCGGCTTGAATCCTGCATTGGCCGGTCCAGATATGCTGTTCGATCCGAATGTCGAGGTTTTGTCCTTGAGCATCGCAGCCGTGGTCGAATGTATCTGATTAACATTTGCAGAATTGTTTGCCACAGGCGCACTTGGGCCAGATGACGCAGGAGTGAGTTGCGAGCCAAAGCTGGGTGGGTTTTGTGAGCTTGTTTCTCGTGGTTTTTTGTTTTGCTCGGTTTCTTCATGATCATCGACGCGATCGGCTTTCCTCTTCATCCCTGCGACGTTGCGCACGAACAATCCGAGCGATGCGCCAATGCTGTCACGCGCAGCTACGTAATGCCGGATGATGTGTTCGAAATCTTGCGAACGCGGGTCCAGGGTGGCTATCTTTTTCTGGAGACCGTAGTTCAGAGAATGAAGACGGTAGTCCCGATCAAACTCCTGAAATTGCTGGGGAGTGGTGTGGCCAGGAACTCGTGACGGGGCCTTGGTGTATACAGGTCTCTTCACTGGCTCAAGATCCATGGCAGATCCCTGTGCACCTTCAGAAGGCTTTTGTGCCGCGCCGACTGCGGCCCCTGCGGAGAGGCTTAGCTCTCCAGTTGTAGGTTGATCGTCTCGCACAGCGGGAGCAGGGAAGTTGATAGATGTGGATGCTGACTTTTCCGTGACTTGAGATTGTGGAGGTCCTGGCTGGGACAAACCACTGAATATGGTGGGAGCGGGAGATGATTGCGTTGAAGTTGCTGCAGAGCGCTCACCTTTGTCCACACCAGAATTGCGGGCACTGGGGAACAGACTCGTGGTCGCTGTTTGCGGCTGACTTTTTTCTTGTGTAGCTTTGGGTTGTGCATTGAAAAAAGGCTGGGGTGAACTCTCCACAGCGTTACTTAGCTTGTTAAAAAGGCTTGTACTCGTAGCCTTGCCTTCTTCGGGCCCTTTCGAGGCCGAAAACAATTCCCCACCAGAGGCAGGCTTTGACGGGGTGGTAAAGTTGAACTGCGGTTTTGCCGCAGCATCTCCCTGCGTAATGCCCAACGGAGGGCCAGCTTTGGGAGTCTCCGATTGAGCAGTATATCTCCCAGAATTTCCGGCTCCGCCAAAGACAGCTGATGCAGTTGATGGAGTTGCTGCTGTTGTGGAGCCGAAGTTAAACGTTGAACTCGCCGGCTTCGGTTCAGATTCATTCGCGGCAGGCTTAGGTTGCGCCGTGGTCCCAAAGCCGAATGGCGACTTAGTCGTGGGTGTCTCACGTTGTTCGGCCACGGACATAGATGGCTGACTCGCTGTACCCAGGTTAAACGCGGGCTTAGATGTGGGAAACGCTGGAGTTGAACCACTCGCAGTGGCGAAGAGACCAGCGAAAGGGTTGACAGGCTGCGCACTGGATTCCGAGGCAGCTGGCTTTTCTGGAGATGACGCTTGCTGCTGCGGCGCGAGTGAAGGCTGAGATGTGTTCCCAGCACTAAAAAACGAGCTCGCAGCTTTGGGCTCTTCCGCTTTCGCGGATCCGGGATTAGCGAAGGGAGTGCTCATCGAGGGAGTCTGAGCAGAGGTTTGTCCGAAAGAAAACTCAATAGATGTCGACTTTGGGAACCCAGTATTGGTGGTCTCATTTGGTGTTGCGGGAAAGAGACTGCTAGCAACGCTTTGGGACGCTGGTACATTTGAGCTAAATTGTCCAGGGCCTTGACTCTGTGACGCGGTACTGGTCTGTCCGAAAGCGAATTTTGAGGCCGGAGGTTGCGTATCGCTATCCTTTTTGGTGCCGAAAGCGGGCAAGGGGCTCTGTGGAACAGAAGTGCTTTGGCCGAAGCTGAACGCGGGGGTCTGAGGCTCCGTCGTCGACGAGGACTGGCCAAACGCAAACAACGGCTGCGACTGGGAAGGCTGAGCAAATAGGTTCGTCGGAGCAGGGGCTTCTGCGGGTTTCGTAGATTGTCCAAACAAACTTGTACCGTTGGTATTTGCAGACGAAGTTCCACCAAAACCACTGAAGGGGGCACTGGACTGTTGTCCTGCTGGTTGGCCAAAAGTGAAACTGTTTGATCCAAAAGCACTCCCAAACGCAGGTTTCTTCTGGGGTGACTCCATTGAGATATCTTGCGCGTCCGCGCTTCCATTCACATTTGCAAAAGGATTAGGTGTACCGGCCGGCGCACCGAATGTAAAGGAGCTCGCCTGCGGAGGCTGGAAATTGAAGGAACTGCTTGTGCCAGCAGATGCCGGTGGAAAGGACTGGGTAGTGCCAAAGGCAACACCACCGTTCACAGTAGGAAAAGGCTGCTGTTGGGTTGTGCTTTGAGCAAAAGGGTTCGAGGCGCCGAAGGACGAGGAGGGATGAGAGGAGCGGTTTGCGCCTAGGCGACCTCGCGGCGTGGCTATTCTGGGAGGAAGTTAGTAAATGATGATCATAGGGGCTTGTGAAAGAATGCGAAAAGGTCAAGGCGGAGGGAAGGCGGCGGGCGTAAAGCCTACGGATAACTGCAGCCAAGCGACTGGAGCAGGGCACCCGGAGCAGGGGAATGGGAGAATTCTGGGGATCAAATCCAGGAGGGCAACAACATAAGCGCGACAAAGAGATGGATTCGAAGGTATGCTGGACAAAACAACTCACTTTCGCCGAGCCTGTTGAGCTGCTGTTGACATTTTGGGCTTTTCGTCTGCGGTGGGGTTGTTGGCTATAGAACCGTTGTCCTTTGTGATATATTCGTCTGCGACACGTTTCGGCATGTCACTGGTCGGCCGGAGAAGGTCGAGAGGAGGAAGTCCAGGGCGAGGACGAGGGCGAGGATGAGGATGAGGACGCGAGGAAACAGAACGAGAGAAGATATACCATCGAGACAGACGCGTTGATGAAGGAGTATGATGGGATTGTGCTTGGGCTGAAAATGCCTTGATCAATGCCTGCGCCTTTGATGAAGAAATAATATTGCGCCTCCTGGTGTTCAAGATTCTTGCTGCCAGATTCCGGGGTCTCGGGTTTTTTGCCCTTTTGGCTGCGCCAAACTGCCTGCGCATTCGTCCTTCTGTCGAGTCCAGCTGCGAACACGTGATTCTCTATTGTCATTGCGATCTCGATTATGATTGTTCGTGGGGGCTGAATGAAATCTGTGAATAATGCCATTCAAGATTCAGTATTCACTACTCTCCTCTCTTCTGCCTCGTGCAAGAAGCAAACCACATCTGCAAGATGCCATCCAGTCTCCATCTTCAGGCATTTCGAGGGTTACTCCTGAGTGCATTGCCTGGGTTTCTGCTGACGATGTCTCATATCTGAAAGCTGCCTCTCCCAAAGTCGTGCAATTCATAATCCAGCTCACCTAGACCTGACATGGTGTATTCGTTTTAGCAACAAGTCTGCTCACAGCGAAGTGTGTACCGTCTGAAGAGTTGAGACCACTCCTCCTTCTATCGGATCTGAGTTCTCCGACTTCAGTGGAACGAAGATGTGATCCCAGCGCAGTTTGAGGACGATACAACACAGCGCAGAAGGTGGGAAGGCGAATGAGTTGACTTTCGAAGCACCCGGAATCTCCTTTTCAGACAATTCGCATCATGGACGACTGATTCGCTCTCTCTTCCTTGAGGGCCCTTCCCATCACCAACCCCGTTCCATACCACCCACAGCTACGCGCATCTCTACCCGCAACAGAGTCCTCTTTTCCAAAGATCCTGGTGCTAAGGTCCTTAAAATGGCGGATGTGGCGCACCGCCACCGTAAGTATTCCAAGTGGCTGGCTCGTGTCACTGCCTGCCTGACCGGTATTCCTTGACCGGTTTTTGTAGCGTTGCGTTCCGCCACGCTGACACATTCCTCCCCAGCTCAAGGCACGTCAGAGCTATTCGAATGCGCATAATCTTTGTATGACGCTCGGTAGTGCTCTACACCGCTGCGACGCTGTCACTGGGGTTAATGGAACATGCCATGATGCGAAACAGAACCAAAGGACCGTGACACAGACCACTGGTTGGCATATTTCTCCGACATGTACCCCACTAGGGATCCAACAACGAAAATCGAGCTGATTACACGGTGTAGGAAGGTGTTTCCCGGCATATCATCGAAAACATGGCAACAAGGGTGCCTGCGTCAGGGAGAACAGGGCTGTGTTTCGTCCCCAGCCAATATTACCAGTGCATTTCAGCACCAGCTAACGTTCTATGTCACAGAGATCCACAACTTACAGGAAAGAATGTCCTGCGCTTTGGGTGGGCAACGAACAAGGTGGCGTTCGCGCCCACTTATCGAAGTCACATCATCTGTACAACGTGGTGGCTAAGATCCATCCAATAGTGGATGTTGCGCATATGACGGCTTACAATGACAAGTTCAGGCCATATTGATGGAACCTGCCTGATCTCTTTTGGCCTGCCAAAGACCGACGCAACGACCACCACCAGCAGACACAAGTCAACACACTGCGGTAAGGAGGGCCAGGCCAGGTGCCCTCTAACATTCGCCAAGTTTCAGTACCACCTAGCTCCTGCAGCAAGAACGGTTCGGGGTGAGCGACAAAGACCCAATAGATGTTGAGCAAGTATCTGTGTCTCCACCTACACATCATGCCGAGCTCGAGACTATAGCGTGAAGTATATGGGAGGACGAATGACCTTTCTTCCCTAATAAAGAGCAAAGAGGAAGAATACAAAGGTCTCCTCAGGCGCGACGCGGGAGTGCTAAAGACCAGAGTTGAGAGGTGGGTAGCTTCCTATGGAAGGCTGAGCATCCGGTCCAGCCAGACACGCAAGTCTGAAGGGCGACCGAGAGCAGCTCTCATCGCATTCCCCGCATTGACAACACCACCTTGATCGGCAACGATGACTTTTGTCCTGGTCAAGGCATCCTAGTCTCGCTATTGACCCACCGAAAGCGAAGATGAAGCATGGTTAAGCTCATCTCTAGATGACCCGACCTAACCAACAATGGCTTGGATCTGCTCTCAGCTCCTGTGAGCTCAAAGTTTGCCAGGCCGTCAAGGCCTCCAACCTCTTTCAACGACCCCCTGTCGGTTACGCATCGAGACTCTCAACGATGCAAACCGCACCTCCATCACAGACACTCCACTTCTTCGCACCCACCACCTAAACGAGCTTCTCCATGCATGGGCCATTTATGCATCTCGCCTCCCATTGCTTCTTACACTCGGCTAGATGCTGTAAGTCAATCAGCTATCTCGACGAGGAGACTCGACAAGTGCTACCTGACCACCGTGGTGGTTTGGACATCCGGTATTTAGATCTGAGTGTCCTCCCTCTGCCTGACAATGTGTTCTTCCCTCACTCAAGAATGAACACTGCCACATCTCCCTGGTGTGCATACTGACCTTCACTACTCTTCACGGGCACTCTGCACTCTCGCTTAGGTTGCCCATCATGCCACGCTCGCTCTTGTCCTTCGTTACTATTACTGTCTTGCTGCTCATTTCGTTTACCTTCGCTGCACCATTGAGACATATCGGCAGGGGAGACTGGTCATGTACGCCGGAAAACATCAGAACTCGAGTGGACTTCAACAACATGGCGGCGGCTGACCGAAAAGCATACACGGACGCCGTGAAGTGTCTAATGGCTCAGCCATCTCAGCTCGACCCAGTTCAATATCCCGCAGCCATCAACAGATACATGGACTATGCCGTCATTCACGTGAACCGCACACAATATGTCCATCTTGACGCCTTCTTCTTGACCTGGCATCGCTACTTCCTCTGGCTTTATGAGACCGACCTGCAACAGACCTGTGGCTATACAGGAGCATTCCCTTACTGGGACTTTGCCGCCACGGCTTCTGACCCCCACGCATTCCCCATCTTCGACGGCTCCGATTACTCCATGTCTGGTGACGGAATCTATAACAATACAGGTCCAATCACCCTCGGCGCACAGTTGACCATTCCTCACGGTACAGGCGGAGGTTGTGTCACAACCGGACCATTCGCAAACATGATTGCGCCACTAAAATTCATTGACCCGACACAACTCGCCACCGGCACGCTACCGGCCGATGCGTTCTCTCGCAACGAGATCTGCTTGATGCGCGACCTGAATGCTTACGTCTCTCAGACGTACACCAACACCGCTGAACTTGTTGCTGCCGTGCACGCGACCAATGCCTCGAACTTTGAGTTCCTTCTCAACGGTGTCATCGGGTCTTCTTCTCTGGGCATCCACTCAGGCGCACATTTCTCCGTCGGAGGCCAGATGGACAGTATACATGTATCTGCTCAGGATCCTGTTTGGTATCCTCTGCATACCATGATCGACAAGGTCTACTGGAGTTGGCAGACCAACTACCCCGAGCTGGCGGATCAGCTAGACGGGTCAACGGGTACTGCGCTGAACACACCGCCATCGCCGGTAGTTACCCTAGATTCAGTCGAACCAGACTGGGGCTACTTTCAGCTGGAGCCTATTGCCGTGCGGGAATTGATCAGCACCACCGCGGGCCCATTTTGCTATCAATACGATACTGTCATCTCGTAAACTCGACATCCGAATGAAATGTACGTCACTTGCAACATGGGTGGAAATGGGTCTTTGACAATGGTCGTCCGAGTGACCGGCTGGCTGTGATCATCAAGGGCGAGCACTGGTGGGTTCACCTGTCAAGTCTGTTTTCTTTTCCTTGTTCTTTCTCTCTTTCTTCTCTGCCTTGGAGGTTCCACTGCTTCTCGGAGCGGCAAGCAATACATGCATGTAAGCACGGGTGAGGGAGCAAATTAATGAGATTGAAGGACCATTTCAGGGCTGCACGGCGGAAATGTAGCCGATTCGACCATGACGCGAACTGCTGGTCGATTTGAAATCGGTCTCGAGAAAGGATCAGGGATTGAGCGAGCGAGTCTGTCGTGTGGCACAATCCGGGTAGCTAGCTTCTGTAATGTATAACAAACAATACAACCAAGTCTCCCGATTCAATGGCGCGAAGAACCTGGAAAGGACTACCACTGTACATAATATTGCTTTGTTGTTTTTCTTTAGACGTCATCGGCTGTAGGAGGGGAAACGCGCTGGACTTGTTTGAATCAGGCTGGAAAGGGGTATGGGAGAGGCCCAATAGCTGGGAGCTTGAGAGAGCTATATATACGTGTCTAGTCTTTTTCAAACCGCAACGGTCTCAAAATATACCGGGGACCGGACCAGGCGACACGGTGTTCTTGTTTTCATCTTCCAAAGCACGGTGTCTTTTTGACGGGCTCTATCGTCATCTCTTACCCCCTTTGTACCGCGAGCGCCTCAAAAAAGAAAACCCGGAGAAAAAAGAAATGAGGACGGCCCGGAGCCGGGGGGGGGGGGGGGGTGTCAGAAATAATCCCTCCTCTTGAGTCTGAACTGGCTCATCCAGCGCCTCTCGTCGGCCTGTCTCTCGAGGGCGTGGCGCATGATCTTGGAGTACTCTTCCTGCTTCCTCTCGCGCTCCTCCTTCTCGCGCAGCTCTTCGACATCGCCCTCGATCTCGCGGACCATTTCCTCGTGGTCCATGAACTGCGCGTCCGAGGTGACGACGCCGATCTTCTCGCCGGTCCACACGAGCAGGTCTGCGTCGCCGCGGCGGCCGCGCTCCGACTCGGACGAGAACGGCGCCGAGTCGTCGTCCAGCGGGATGATCTTGCGCGCGACCGCGTCGCCGTGGACCGAAGCCGAGGCCGCGATGGCGTGGTTCGGGCTGCCGCTGCCCATCTGGAACCCGTTGATGTTCCACCGCCGCACGAGGCTGTGACCGTCGCGCTCGA